CACACACACACACACACACACACACACACACACACACACACACACAAAGGGGGTCCGAAATCCCCCGACAGGTGACTGCGCTGGGGGGGCCTGGCCCCCAACCGGGTGCCCTGCCCGGCCAGGCCGCCCAGGACCTCCCCCGGGCCCTTGCCGGTCACCCGGGCGGCCCGGATCCCCACTCAGCTTTTTCTTTGTTTTTTCTTTGTTTTTTCTTTTCCTTTGTTTTTCTTTTTCTTTGTTTTTCTTTTTCTTTGTTTTTCTTTTTCTCAGGGAATTTGCTCAAGCCAGGTTTGCATACGCATAGCAGCGATGAGGTGGAGGCTGTGGAGCAAATTCCCTGAGAAAAAGAACAAGAAAAACAAAAAAAAGCAAAAAGACTTTTGCCTGGAGATGGATTGTTGCTTACTGCAATTTCTTCTTCCATAAGATCAACATCCATATCAGGCGGTTTTCGTGCTTCCTCTCGTGCAGCTTTTTCCAGCTCTGCCAAGTCGATTTTCTCCACATCAACCCGTCTTGACAGCTCCTGTTTCCTTCTCTGCAAGCAGAAACAAGACCGAAACAAAAAGCCATTGGTCCGGATTGATGTGCACACACAATGCGTTAAAACCCCAGAGCTGACTCCCTCCAGGAGCCCACTCAAGCCTAACCATGCATCACTGGCCCATCAAGCTCTATACAAAGCAGAAGGTTGAAGTCCACATGAATATACAAAGCAAGTCCACAAACAAGAACATCAGACTTGCTTATCAGAATCAGCCATGAAACGGGCAATGGAAAACATGCAGGGTGGAAATGATGTTCAAATCCACTCACGGATTGAAGCCCAATTGCAAGTGCCACCACTAAAGCGGACTCATCACATACCTACCAACAGCAATGAAACCCAACCAGGGGATGACCAGGAAAATGATTCACATGCTGTTAACTTCTTTGTTTCTCGCTCCACCTTGCCTTTTGTTACGATCCTACGACATTCATAATGCAAAATGTGCAAAACTCAAATGTTGGAAAATGCAAGACTTGCTGACCTGAAACAAAGAAGAAGCAGAAGCAGAAGCAGAAGCAGAAGGAGGAGGAGGAGTGTTGCATACTAGTGAATACTTCAACAAGTATGAGCAGAACCAAAGATCAACCAATATAGGGTGAGCATGTATGCAGCGGAAGTCTGATAAAAGGACAGACTCACATAGACTGAACTCATACAGATATCACTCAACACACAAGCAATCGTGAGATGGTGGGGTCTGAGCCAATCATAGACGATGCTCAGGCCCCGTACAACCATACACAGGTGAAAGGTGGGAGGAGAAACGAAGGAGGTGGGAGATGTAGGCAGCGCCAGATGTCACCGAGATAGAATCCAGTAGGTCCCCGATATGGTAGTCCAAAATGTCATCAAACAAGATCAAAATGTCGTGGACAATAAGTCACCAATGTCGGAGGTACAGTGTAACCGGTGTCCAATCTGTGATGCCGCCGAGTATCAATCCCAACAATCTCCAAGTCTCGAATCCGGTAAGTATCACAGCCTCTTACCACCGAAGTCCAACACTGATCTCTGTCCAACTCATATCAAGTCTCCAGTCTGAAGAAGAAGAAGAAGAAGAAGAAGAAGAAGAAGAAG